TTAAAATAGTCAGTTTGGCAATACAGTTGATCATCACCCGTTGAAAGTTCCATTTTCAGATGATTTAACAATAAGCTTTGCACAGACTGATTTATCAGTCATATTAGGAAACTCTAGTTGGAGTTTCAGAAAATCACATATATACGCTTTTGCTACGCGATAGTACATATAATGTCATCAACATAAAAAATATATGAGTAATTCGTAAGTAAAATTATTCTTCATACATTCATGTGTTTATAATATCTATCATGTTGTTATTAAAATAGTTTCCTTTCAATATGAATTGATTTTAACGGAGATTGGGAACCGGTTGAATGTAGACATTATTTCTCAAAGTTAAATTGAAGGTTTTTTTTCGAAATCTATTGATATCAGTGAAATATAACAAGAAGAAAATATCAACAGTTGAAGTTGTATTACTTTGAGTGCATCTACCTACATTTTTGTAGGAGTATGTACTATGGAGCAACAATAACATTATCAAATTATCTTGTGTAAAGGAGACTGATACTATAACGAACATGGATTTTTTTCTGGAGCAAGGCACGCAAAATTGATTTACTCTAGACTACCCACAGACAGGTTCGCATGTTTTTCTTCGAGATTGAAAACCGGTATCGTCCTCGATCGATTTACCGCAAACGAAAAGAAGAAGAAAAAAAGAGGAAAATAAATTGAAAATATAATATCACAGCTGTGAGATATGCGAGCAGACTTGGCAGCTACTCCAATTTAAAATCTCACGGAATCCGAAAAGAACTTTATGATTTATATCTGTTCGATGCCAATTATCCTTTATTGATAAATAACAGATAGGTACAAGTGAATGTAAAATGTTGCTCCTCTCCTGAAGAAGCCAATTAAAAGCAGAAAAATGAAAAATGATTGGAAAGGCGGCGTTGAAATAAATCAAACGAGTGTTCCTTGTTGGACTCTTGCTGACAATTACTACAGGTCTCTTGAAAAAACAATCAGAGCAATTAAAGATAAGATATATGATGGGTTTTGATAGATGAAACAATAGATTACTTATTAACACAACAAACCCAAAATAGTTTCCTCTGATGGATTCGTCAACGATATTTAAATGCTATGTGAATTCGAGATCATGTGTAACACTGTTTAAATTGATATGACCATGTTGGTCATATCTCATGTTTTCATAAAGTAATCGTTTATAGACAAACCCATAACAGGAAAATCCTTATGGCGCTCTATGAGCGGTGTCTGTGCGAAAGTAGCGATTCGCATTGGATTTGAATCGCTGAAGATTAAATCCATTTGGGAAAAAGTTCTCAGAGGTTTATTCCACATAAACGCTGTTCTCTAAATGAAAGAGTTCTTAAGCAGTGAAGTTCGAGGTGTACCGAGTTGAACCTCAACTGGTATGTACCGCTCTTGACATATCCCCAACCTTTTTTAGATGTTCTTATAAAAGTGGAATATGAGTATTTCTGAAAAATAATATCTTCACAATAATCTCGGCTTCAAATACTCCACAGTTCTTTCCAGAACTATAGTGAAAATTTTCGACAGTCCGATCATAGTTAACGGTTTCATGATGACACTCCAAATAAACTCATTCAATAAAAGAAAGTACAAAAAAGTTTTGACGTTTACAACATTCTTTTGGGAAGAAGGTAATGGGTGTATTGATTCCACACTGTCTAAAGTTTAATACCAATTCTAAAATGTGGATAAAAAATGAGTTTCAACCGGGAAATAACAATTGATACAAAATGGCAATAAATACATAAACAAATTATGAAATCAATGATATAATTCAATCAATAATGACATTGAAATACTTTGAAAACAATAGTGAGTCGATATAAATATGTGGAGCCTGATCAGATTTTGAATCTAGCTCTTTATAAAAATTTTCGAAAATGGAAAATTCATTATGAAGAGAATACCAAAAATACAGAATTGATATGCATTTAAATTTTATTTTATCACAAAATAGATTCAATAGAAAAATAACTTATACCAATAACAACAAGCCTTTAAGACTTACAAAAAAACTAAATAATTTGTCAGAGGAATTCATAAATTGTTGTGAAATAAATTTTTTGATACTGATTGCAGTGAACATTTTGTATGCATTTTCATTCTAGGTGGAGATCTGTAACTGGTACTCAAGTGGTTGTCAGAAATAGTACTATTCATGTTTTTGAAGTTACGAAATTCCTTGGAACGTGTATAGATAGTGAAATGAGTTGCGAAAATAGTATTGATGTCATAAGCAAAAAAGTTAACACAGGTTATAATGCTGTGTTGCCATTGAAAAATATGTTCAATACCACGTATTAATTTTTTCAAAAGTATAATGTTATTTATGCAACATATTGACATGTATCAAACATTTTCTTGGTGCCATGATTACCCCACTAAAAATGGAGACCTCATCAGAATTCCTGCATACAGTTCATCATAAATAAATATAAAGTTTTTCTTTCCGCAAACCTGAAAGAGCTACAGAAATAAAACTGCTTCAAATCAAAATTGGAAGTATATTTGCGAGATAATAAATGTTTTTATGGTATCAAATAATTTCTTGTTTGTTTGCTTGTGTAGGTATGAATATAAACTGAAATAAATGTTACCTTGTATATGTGTACAAATCTGTTAAATATTGATATTTTAATATTGTTGATTGTTAATGTGTTTACCATCTAATAGTTTTTATTTGTGACATATCCTACATCATGCTGTATGTCAACTGAAAGGATGGAATACAATATTATTATCATGAAATAGACTGTAAAATACAATGAATAATGAAGTAAAATATATAACTGGGAAAATATGCTGTTTACGATATATGTAAAATGAAAGAATTAATTGGAGTGAATTCAAATAAGCATAACTTTGATCATGATCTTCAACAACATTTTCGAAACACGAAAAAAATGTTTATGTACATTTCATGTAGTCCAACTTTTATTGGAACCGCCCTGATATTTCTGTAGTTAAAAACATGATTTCAATCAACTTTGTAGATTTTATCTGAGTATATGCTGAAATACTACAATTTGGCCAGTAGAATACAGTGTGTAACAACGACGTTTTTGAATATAAAAAGTAAGATTTTTAAAAAAAGGTCAGACATGTCGATTTCTAATTAAAGGGGGACACCTTTCGGACTAATCAGATATTTTGTAGTACGCACCCCCTCGGAGGGGTGCGTCCGATGACCCTTATTTAGATAGAGAAAGTAGGTCGAGTGGCACCTTGTTTTAAAGGTCTTTCGAATAAAAGAAAATTTTTGTAACGATTAGTTTTCGAGATAATTTGAAGTTAAAATTGCCATGTTAATAATACATTAGACAGATCACTCGGTAACTTGTATGCCTAAATAAAAAAAAAATCGAGCAGTTCTTCTTATCAGTTTTTTGTTAAATAAAATCCCTTTTTTAAAATCAATACCCACTCCTCTTCTTCCAGTTTTCATTTGTACATCGTTCGATTGTTTTGTTTAAACGGGTCGTGTATTGTTATTTGTTTAACAATGTCTTACACTACTGCTGAAAGGGTTTCAGTTATTGCTTTATTTTTTGGCAACGACCAAAATGCTAATTGAACATCAATTTTATTTAACGAGCAAAACCCTGGTAAACACCTAAGCAGAAATCACGTTCTGGATTTGGTCACAAAATTCACGGAGATAGGTTCGGTTTTAAATAAGAATATAAATCTTCAGAGAAGGGTAGTGAATGACGATAATGCGATTGGAGTGATTGGTCATGTCATCGCCAATCCCAGGTTAAGTACCAGAGGTTTATTAGCAATGGCCGGAATAAGCCATATGAGCGCATGAAGAATCCTTAAAAACCACAAATTCCATTATTACAAAATTAAACTTGTTCATTAACTCAATGAGGATGATTTTGACGGTGCACCACCCCATTATGCCCAGCAGGTTCGAAATTTTTTGAATAATAATTCTGAAGGACAATGCATTGACAGAAGAGGTCCAATTGGATGGCCAGCACGATCACCAGATTCAACACCATTGGACTACTTTTTGTGGGGATATATCAAGTCTAAAGTTTATGTTACACAGCCAGCCAATTTGGATGAATCACGTCGTAGAACTATTGATGAATGCCGAGCTATAACTCCTGAGATGTTGAATAATGTAAGAGCAAAATTCGAACAAAATCTTTATTGTTGCATGGAGCAAAATGGCGCACATTTTGAAGATTTACTTTAAATTTCCTATGTGAGTTACCCTTATTAGGTGTTCAGTTTTTTAAAATTTTCTGTGTCATCAGCATTCAAGGAAATTAGCAGGTTGTATTCGTTGTGTAGGTAAGTTTTTAGTATGATTCACTTTTTTATCAGAAGCATAAAATATCCACGTCAAAAGGCAACCTTCATAAGGAGGTGCCACCCAATTTACCTAAAATGTAAGGGTGGTAACCAACCCCATTCCCCGAAAAATCTCCTCGTAATAAACAAATAATTCTTACTTTTTTACGAAATCAAATGGACACATATTAGTAGGTTGTTATAAAAAGCAAAATTTTTTTTATGAAAGTTCTGAACGTAAATTGTACATTAAAAACAATTTGATTCATTTAAAAAGAGTTGAACTCAATAAAAATACCTTTAAATCTTCAAATTATCTCGAAAACTAATCGTTACAAAAATTTTCTTTTAACAGCGATGTAAAGGTATTCGAAAAACCTTTAAAACAAGGTGCCACTCGACCTACTTTCCCTATCTGAATAAGGGTCGTCGGACGCACCCCTCCGAGGGGGTGCGTACTACAAAAAATCTGATTAGTCTGAAAGGTGTCCCCCTTTAATTAGAAATCGACGTGTCCGAGCTTTTTTTAAAAATCCTCCTTTTTATGTTCAAAAACGGCTCTGTTAAGTTTTCGTTGTTACACACTGTATATTGATTATTCATTGACGTAGTCTATTTACCGAGGTAATTATGTGGAGACAATTGAACCAGAAAGTAGTAATGGTCTTAGGCCAAACGAGCACTTATTCTCTAAGAACTATCCCATGGATCCAATCCAAATACTTAGAAACCCTAGTATAAACGGTAGGGACGTTGCCCCCGCATCCAATCCCGAAAGACACAACTCCCACTACCGAAAACACCCCTGAATCCTGCTGAATGAACAAAGGTCCTCCAGAATCACCCCAACACGCGTCTTTAGCACCTCCTCCAGCGCAAATCTGGCTAGACACGATCGATTTCTTCCCAAACATCAAAATTCCGTAAATGGTATCGCATGCACTCACAGGCACAGAGAGGATTTTGGCTTTCCGAAGTCGTGTACTTCTTCCTTGTTCTGACACTCCCCAACCGGCGATTGTGAGTCCTTGAGGGTCGTCCTGGCCTGCATATAAAGTAGCCGGCTGGATTCTGTCGGAAAAAGAAACTCTTCTGGCAATTTCTACGATGGCAATATCGTGATGCTTCGTAGTAATGTTGTATGAAGGATAGAGAGTGGCTTTTTTGATATCGACATCCAAAGCAGAGGAGTCGTCCAACGAGGTAACTCCCAAGCGAGCTACTGAGGGCACCACATTTCGACAGAAACAATGAGCGGCTGTGAGGAGGAAATTGAAAGAGATTATCGTCGCTCCACAGTCCCAACTAAGTTCGCCGTTTGACAAGAAACCCAGGGCTGCCATGTGGGGAAATTCATTTTCGCTAGCTATCACCCCTCCTATCATGTTCCACAGTTTTTCTCGAATCACTTTACAAGTTACAAGATGTCACTGATACTAAAGAAAAACAAGTTGACAGTCCATTTCTGAAGCCCTGTTTCAACTTTTCTCGAATACGAGTATTTATGGACCAACTCGATTCGATCAAGTGGACGTTATAAAGAACACCAACATTATGACCGGTGGCAAACTTTTCATCGAATTCAAAAGGAAAAAATTGATGACGCTTTTTGACCGCATTTATCAAGCTTTGACGTTGCGAAAAATTGTACATATATGCATGTCTGCCGGTCTGTGGTTTTACTTTAATTCCTTACACCTGTATAGGAAATGTGGTCGTCAATGACGTTACTCATAGTGCGAAAATTTCTAATCAACTTTGCGGTTTCATTAAATTATTGTGAAGGCGGTATATTTAATAACACAGTAATTGTAATCAGTTTTAAAAATGATTCTATTTCTATGTATTAACAAAAAAGTGTCACTTTAAAGAGACTTATTGACTACGTTATGTGCAATAAGATGCATCAAAAATCATGCAAAATAAACAACAAAACATTCAAAATGAGGCACGGTTAAATCCAGAATATCACACAACTACATTTCAAATACTCGTACTTATGGTAAATTTGTGAGACCTATGATTTAAACTCACTAGTGAAAACAAAAACGCGCAATTTCTCATTAATGGCAGCCCGAAAAAAAATTGCTCGGTTCCGTCGATTTTTATTTCGAAAGAGAAATCCTTCTCCGCCTATTATCTATTTTATCGCTTCCACCCCCTCGCTGGGGTAAAATCCTTCCCTCAAATCTTGAATAGAATCAGGGATCTCCCAGAAAAAAAACATTACTCTTCTTTACGCTTTACGTTCAGTCAAAGCCTGAACGTAAAGCGTCTAATAAAAATTGTTTCAATGTGCAACTAGTCTGATATTGATTTTAAAAATACCTTACTTTCTATTTACAATTTAGTATTATCCATTCTGGAATTCGATGCTAGTAATAAAAAATTTAACGCCGTTTTTGTCAATCTTTTTTCGAAAGTATTCAAAATTCCATTTATCTACATTGAGTATCTCACAGATTTTGCACAAAATGCTGTATTCAACTGCAGAAAAAGTGTCGATAATTGAACTGTAAAATGTAAATGATAGGTGCGCTAATACTACAGCACAGTTGATAATGTCCAAACTCTGGATGGGCATCTGAAATGAAAGTTCTTGAAGTAATGAAAGATTGATTATCCTCCTACCTCAGAATGCTTTCGAAGACGTAATATGATTTTTGTGAAGGAACATGCACGGAGAAAGCAATTTTAGACCTCACCTCTGAAATATACTCGGCGCTAGATAACAAAGTCTTTCGTGACTTGTTAAAACCTTTCGACAGTGTGGTGGGAGCAAATATTGGTGTTCTACAAAAACACTGTGTGAAAATCACACGGAGCTATTCTAGGCCCAGTATCATTCAACATCTACCAGGAATAGGTATTTTCACTAGCAAAAACCAGAAAAATGTTTACGTATGCAGATGATAGAGAAAGTGTAAAGCACAAGGAGAAAAAAACGTAGAAGAATGACAATTTTCAACAAAAGTAATATCAATGGCAACACTATCCATTGATTGTGTTGCCATTGATATTACTTTTGTTGATTTTCTCAATAAAATGAGCGACAGCGAATTTTCTGTTTTTTTCTTAAATAAAACGTTCCACATTTAATTTCTCAATAACGAATGAACCAATTTAGAAAAAAAAATACAGAAGTAATAGAGAGACGAAAAGACCTTTCAAATCACTCGACTCCCCATGTCAATGGAAAAAATAGGGGGGTTAGTTGGTGACCGCAGGGGGATGAAGTTTCGGGTATGATTTCCATATCAGAAGTAGTCACCCTAGAAATAAAAATTGACGTGTTCTTTAAAATATTCGATTACACGTCAGTTTCTGACAAACTGATAAATTCCACAATTGATAGCTGTAACTTTGATAAACGTACGAACATGAGCACATCAATAATAAAAATCATTATGAGGGAGTCAAAACGGAAGCGGTAAAAGTTAATAATTACACTGTTCTTACGGTTGGTGAGTTATCCCACAGTTATTGGAATACATTGATAACTTCCTTACCTTCAAAGACAATGAAAAAAATTACTGACGTAGACAGATTGGTCAAAGATTTGTTTAAACTTGAAAAATCATCCGATAATAATAATAAAAATTTATTTAATAGGCATCTTAGTATAAACAGATCAAATGTGCCAATATACATGCTGACTTCTGAATTTATTGAGTTCTTTAGGGCAAGTTACCTTATTTCCTCAGTTACCATTTCCAAAATCAAGAAATAAATTGACTATTGATTTTGTAATAATTTTTTTTTCATCATATTTAACTATGAAATACCTATATCTGACGCTGAATCTCAAGTTTTGTTTTCGCTTGAGGCATACCGGGTGGCAAAATCAAATTGCATACTATTGCTATCTCGGTAACGGAAGAAGATACGATGTTGGTCGAATTAGACAAAAAAAAGTACTCTTTAGAATGCCGTGGTTTTGGATTGAACTTCATGAAAGTTACAATATTCACTCATTTTATTTTTCATCATCATTCATCATTCATCATCAATTTTCTCAAATACGGAACTGTATTTCTAATAGCAAATTGTGATACCATTTCAATAATGCATTTACCTAGCAACCGTTCATAACTTTTTCTCAACGTTTCACTCAAAAAAATTTCATAACCAAGTCGATTGGATCTGAAACTTAATATCTAGGTACATAATATCTAGGTACATAATATCTAGGTATTATTATTATTATAGATATTATAGTCCATTCAGTATTATCTGAGAGTGAAGGAATTTCAAGAAGGCAAACATGCCAGTACATTAAAAAAAGCAACATAGTCGTCTCAAGCAAGAGGCACTGCAATTCATCGACAAAGTCACTGAGATATTTCCACCCGCTATGCCCATCGAGGACATCGCCAAGAAGCCATTAAAACGGTGAGTTTCAACGGCCGACGCTGTTTATCATATTGCGTTGAAGATAATATTAATAGGCGTCGAACTGGAGGTATTAATATAAAGTTTCTGTATGATGCGAAGATAATTTAAATATCGTGAAAACTAATTTTGTTTAAATATTTTATTTTGAGAAGGACAATTCATATTTGAAATAGTTTTTTATTTGGGATGTTACCTTCTATAGGACTATGAAATAATGGGAATATCAAATTTAAAAATAAATACAAATGTAGAAAGTGCAAACAATTACTGAATTTGATGAATTAGCTTTTTAAAAAAATATATTATTTGTCAGTAACTTGAATTCATGAAATTTTGCAAATAAAAACCTATTTAAATCAAAACATTATAATGTGTAGTGATAATTCTTTTTTTGATGTAAATCAATTTGATATTATTATTATTGACACTGATAATATCAAATTGATCATAGGCTCGATAATGAAGATGGATAAAGTCTTCGAGACGTCACCAGATAAGGTACCTTTTTTGTGCTATGGCAGCTCAAGGTTTTTGGAAATGTGAAGAATTTCTCAAGATTGGTTTTATTTAAAGTTGAAAATTCACTGACGCTTTGTTCGAAGTAAACCTTCTATTGAATTAAAGAGCGATCATTTCTAGTTAGAAAAATAATTCATAACGTCAATGTTCCAAAAAGAAGTTCCCGGAAAAACATAATAAAAAAAATGTTAACCTGCGCGAAAATGAAAAAGCAACTAATAACTCGAAAACTACAAAAAATGTGGTATCGAACCTTTTTTTTAATTTTTTGTCGTTAGGGTTAGACCACTCTGATATATTGAATGTACTTGAATATTTGCGAACAAAATAATTCAAAACTTTTCAGATTCACACGATTTCAATTTAATCATTCTTTGTGTATTTTCAATCTTCTAAAACCACGTAAAAAAATATTAATAAAAATACTTTGCATATTGAAAAGTAGTCGTCCCTTAAGGCTAAAGCCGTTCCTGGTCAACCTTACGCGTCGTTTATTACCCTGGAGATTATACCTCCTTCTATACACATAGTAGTATATCGGTTGCCTGCTTGTAGGCTGCCTCTTGTAGCAAAGTAGGTAATGTATAAGTAACAGGTCCTAAAGCCCTAAACGTAAAGCCTGGCAAACAAATTCAAAGTGTATTCTTTCGAATAATAATTCAAGGCTCTCAGATGCCAGTTTTGGATTGTGTCTGCTGAACTTTCTATTAGGCTTTTAATTTATTGCAGAAAACAAACCCTATTTATATCTGAGCGAATCGATGACAAAGTTCCGAATAGGTGGATCTGGTCATATTCGTTTTTTCACCGTAAATTTGTTATGCGTACTATACATTCGCAGTAATGATTGATAAAAGAAGAGTGTTTTTATGTTGAGCAGGTTGGTATCTTCATAGAGTAAAAGAGTGGGAAATATTCTATCTTTTTTTAGTAAAGATGTTTTGTGCTATCTGTAAAGATTGTAATTATTGAAAGCACCACCCTATGCGACTATGCAGTATCTGATGATTGATTCAGCGAGACTATTGTACAAAATAATCATGTTTTTTCTTGAGAGAATGTCTCTCAGGATATAAAATTTCTGACTTCAAACAAAATTAATTTGTCCGTCGTTATTATGATTGAATGTTCCGAATAGAACAATAAGAGCACTTGAATTATTCATTTTACCCTTTAAGAGAACTAACTATTCGCAGAACTCTCCTCTATGTCGATGCGTTAAATTAGGTAATAGGTACTCTTGCAAAATATATCGATATTTTTTATACATCATTGCTTACGGCCAGGAAAATATTGAAAACTTATTTTCATTAGTTATAATTCATTTATATATTTGGTCAATAACTATTAATCAGTTTTTTTGTTATTGTATTCAATTCTAATTCATCCTTTATTTTAGACACTATGTATATGTGTATTGTAGGTTACCTTCAATTTAATATTAATTCAATTATGTGGATACTGTAGTGGA